CCATGCGGACGCAGCCACTGGGGCATTCGGTGGAGCTCCATATGGGGCCACGAAACGTGCGAGGGGAGTGCCAGAAAGGACCCGAGTCACCATGCGGACGCAGCCACTGAGGCTTTCGGAGGCGCTCCATATGTGGCCACGTGCGAGGGGTGTGCCAGAAAGGACCCGAGCCACCAAGCGGACGCAGCCACGGGGGCCTTCGGTGGAGCTCCATATAGGGCTACGAGACGTGTGAGTGTTGTGCCAGAACGGACCCGAGTCACTATGCGGACGCAGCCACTGGAGCCTTCGGTGGAGCTCCTTGTGGGGCCACGAAGCGTGTGAGGGGTGTGCCAGGAGAGGCCCGAGTCACCATGCGAACCCTACCAGTGATGCCTTCGCATATGGGGCCACAAACGTGTGAGGGGTGTGCCAGAAGGGACCCGAGTCACCATGTGGACGCAGTCACTGGGGCCTTCGGTGGAGCTTCCTAAAGGGTCACGAGACGTGTGAAGGGCGCGACGACATTATGATGAAAATGACAATGGCAGCGATGATGATGGTGGTGGTTGTGGTGGGAATGGCGAATGGGAGAATGGGGAGGAAGCGAAGGGGAGAGCGAGGAGGGAAATGAGAGGAGGGAGGAGGTGGAGGAGGAAGGAGGAAGGAGGCGACGCGCGGCGCTTCGAATTCAAACCGAGGACCCAACACACAGGAAGGTTGGAAAACACAATATCTTGGCGAAGGGCCCAACCACGTGCAATTGTGGGCACTCCCCATGGGGCCACGAAACGTGTGAGGGGTGTGCCGAAATGGGGCGGGGCCGCCATGCGAACCCTGACACGTGGGCCTTTGGTGGAGCCCCTTTCGTGGGGCCACGAAACGTGTGAGGGGCGTGCCGAAATGGGGCGGGGCCGCCATGCGAACCCTGCCACTGGGACCTTCTATCGAGCTCCCAATGGGGCCAAACGTTTGAGGGGTGTGTCGACATGGGGCGCGGCCGCCATGCGGACCTTGCCATTGGGGCCTTCAGTGGAGCCCCTTTTGGGGCCACGAAACGTGTGAGGGATGTGCCGAAATGAGTCGGTGACGCCATGCGAACCCTGCCGCTGGGGCCGGGTGTGGAGCTCCGCATGAGGCCACGAAGCGTGTGAGAAGTGTGCTGACATGGGGCTGGGCCGCCATGCGAACCTTGCCATTGGGGCATTTGGTGGTGCTCCCTTAAGGGCCACGAAACCTGTGAGGGGTGTGCCGGAAAGGGGCGGGGCCCCCATGCAAACGTTGCAACTGGGCATTCGGTGGAGCTCCCATGGGGCCACGAAACATGTGAGGGGTGTGTCGACATGGGGCGCGGGCGCCATGCGAACCCTGCCACTTGGGCCGTTGATGGGTCTCCTTATGTGGTGTTATGTGGTGTGCCGAAATGGGGCGGGGCCGCCATGCGAACCTTGCCATTGGGGACTTTGGTGGTGCTCCCGTAAGCGCCACGAAACCTGTGAGGGGTGTGCCGAAAAGGGGCGGGGCCGCCATGCAAACCTTGCCACTGGGCATTCGGTGGAGCTCCCATGGGGCCAGGGAACGTGTGAGGAGTGTGTCGACATGAGGCGGGGCCGCCATGCGAACCTTGCCATGGGGGCCTTCGGTGGAGCTCCCTATGGGGCCACGAAACGTGTGAGCGGTGTGCCGACATTGGGCGCGGCCGCCATGCGGACGCGGCCACTGGGGCCTTCGGCGTAGCTCCCTATGGGGCCACGAAACGTGTGAGGGTTGTGCCGAAATGGGGCGAGGCCGCCATGCAAAAGTTGTCGAGGAGGGTGAGGAGGAGGAGTGAGTGCACACAGGGCGCTGTCTCTTCAAAACGAGGACCCAACACCACAGCGTTGTTGGGATGGCAAATAGAGAGAGAGAGAGAGAGAGAGAGAGAGCGAGAGAAACAGAGGGACAGGGAGAGGGAAAGTAAGAGGGAGAGGGAGAGTGAGAGGGAGGGAGGGAGAAAGAAACGTGGAGACAGAGACAGACAGAGATAGAAAATTAGCCTGGCGAGGGACCCACCCATATGCAGTTGTGGGCACCGTCGTTGTGTGCACCGCGTTCGGAGGAGATCCCTATAGGGCGACGAAACGTGTGATGGGTGTGCCAAAACTTGTCTGGTGGGCGCATGCGAAAGCAGCCACTGGGGCCGTCGGTGGAACTCCCCATGGGGCCACGAAACGTGTGAGAGGTGTGCCGACACGGGTGCGGTGAGCGCATGCGAACGCAGCCATTGGGGCCGTCGGTGGAGCTCCCTGTGGGGCCACGAAACGTGTGATGGGTGTGCCGAAATAAGTGCGGTGGGCGCATGCGAGCGCAGCCACTGGCATCTTCGGTGGAGCTCCCTGTGGGGCCACGAAACGTATGAGGGTTGTGCCAGAATGGGCGTGCGTGACGCATCCAGGCTGTGGCACTGTGGCCTTCGGTGGAGCTCCCTCTAGGGCCACGAAACGTGTGAGGGGTGTACCGAAATGGGTGTGCGTGACGCATGCGGGCCGTGGCATTGGGGCATTCGGTGGGGCTCCTTGTGGGGCCATGTGGGGCCACGGAACGTGTGAGGGGTGTGCCGAAATGGGTGTGCGTGACGCATGCGGGCGGTGGCACTGGGGCCTTCGGTGGAGCTCCCTGTGGGGCCGCGAAACGTGTGAGGGGTCTGCCGAAATTGATGTGCGTGACGCATGCGGGCGGTGGCACTGGGGCCTTCGGTGGAGCTCCCTATGGGGCCACGAAACGTGTGAGAGGTGTGCCGAAACGGGTGTGCATGACGCATGCGGGCGGTGGCATTGGGCCTTCGATGGAGCTCCCTGTGAGGCCACGAAACGTGTGAGGGGTGTGCCGAAATGGGTGTGCGTGACGCATGCGGGCGGTGGCACTGGTGCCTTCTTTGGAGCTCCCTATAGGGCCACGAAACGTGTGAGGGGTGTACCGAAATGGGTGTGCGTGACGCATGCGGGCGTCGGCACTTGGGCCTTCGGTGGAGCTCCCTGTGGGGCCACCAAGCGCGTGAGGGGTGTGCCGACATGGGTGTGCGTGGCGCATGCGGGCTGTGGCACTGGGGCCTTCGGTGGAGCTCCTTGTGTGGGGCCGCCAACCATGTGATGGGATGTGCCGAAACGGGTGTGCGTGACGCATGCGGGCGGTGGCACTGGGGCCTTCGGTGGAGCCCCCTTGTGGGGCCACGAAACGTGTGAGGGGTGTGCCGAAATGGGTGTGCGTGACGCATGCGGGCGGTGGCACTGGGGCCTTCGGTGGAGCTCCCTGTGGGGCCACCAAGCGTGTGAGGGGTGTGTCGACATGGGTGTGCGTGACGCATGCGGGCGGTGACACTGGGGCTTCCGGTGGAGCTCCCCATGGGGCCACGAAACGTGTGAGGGGTGTGCCGAAATATGTGTGCGTGACGCATGCGGGCGGTGGCACTGGGGCCTTCGGTGTAGCTCCCTTTGGGGCCGCGAAACGTGTGTGCCGAAATGGGTGAGCGTGACGCATGCGGGCGGTGCAAGGAGGATGGGAGGAGGAAGGAAGGAGGGAAGGAGGGAACGCGGGGACCATCTCTTCAAAACGGGGAGCCAACACCACAGGATGGTTGGGAAAACAGCTATATCTGAATTGCGCCCCCGCGTAAAACTTTGCAACTTGGGTCTGTACGAATGGACCTCGTTTCAAGGTTGAACGGTGCCTGGCGTCCCGCCTCCCTTCCTTTGTACATGACATGGGTTTCGCAACGCCTTCACCGCTGCAAACACACAAGAGTTCCGTACTTGCCCGAGGAGGTCCCACGAGTGGTCGTATTTTTTCGAGCGGGGATCCATGTTCGTTTCTTTGTCCACGTTCGTAGGGGGGCAGAGACCAAAGGCACTCGGGCGGGACGTGATGCTACGTTGTTGGTAGTGACCAGGAGGTGGCTACATAACAGGGACATTCCACACTTACACCAAATGTACAATATATGAATCCTCCTCTGCTCCCTCCCTCATGTGCTCCTACTTCCCCGTTGGATATGACAGCACAATTCGGCCCATCCAGCTACACAAGCTTCTTCTGTATGGGGGATATGGATGCCTTGCGAACTCTCGCCAAGTCGCGTCTTTGGGCAGGAAGAGTATCACTACAAGGAATGCTTGAATTCGATGTCTTATGTCACGCATGGTAGGTTGGTGCTCCTCCTCTTCCTCCTCCTCCTCCTCCTCCTCCTCCTCCTCCCCTCCCCTCCTTCTCTCCCTCCCTCCCTCCCTCCTCCTCCTCCTCCTCCTCCTCCTCCTCCTCCTCCTCCTCATCATCATCATCATCATCATCATCATCATCATCATCATCATCATCATCATCATCATCCTCGCAGGCTCACCTATAATCTGAAATCTGTCAGCGTTGCCTCCCGCGCGTTGGGGGCGTGGACTCTGTTCTGCTAGCCTTCAGCTCTGAGGTTTGGCCCAGACAGCCGACGGAGGGACAGTGAAGGATACCAACGTTTGGTTATTTCATATCATGTCTCTCCGCCATCACGGAAAAAGTCCGTGCGCACAATTTGTTCGGAGGCCCGCTTTTTCTTTGACGTGCGAAACGCGCTTGGGGGAGGGGGGGGCATCGCCACAAGGCGCCGCCCAGAGGAGTCCAGCGCCGATCCGATGGATCCGCGAGGACTTCCGAAAGTTTCTGTTCGTGGCTGATGTGTCTTCTTATTCTTCTCTGTCTTATTATTGGTACGTGTCTGCTTTGTAGTGTTATTCGCATTCGTATATTCTGTATTCGGCTTAATAGTATTATTAGTAGTAGCATGTCCATTAGTACTATTATTCGTATTCGTCTTATTACGAGTGTACGTGTTGTTATTAGTAGTATTATAGTTCGGCTTCTTATTCCGATTAACAGTACTTTCATTCTTCTTTCCTGGCAAGATGGCCGAGACGGTCCCGAGGGCTCCTCGTCTAGCTTGCACCCCAGCCGCCAAGCCTCCGAGCCGCCCGTGCGCGCACGCGCGCCGCGCCGTGGCAGAG